CAAGGCTTATAAACATTTCTGGAAAAAAAATATGTTCTCAACATTTTCTGATCATTAAGAATAATGTTAAATAAAGAATATTTTTTCCATCGCAAATGTCAACTTCATAATAGACAATAATCATCTGACTTGGAATAGTTCAGCAAATAAATGAACACATTGTACATTTCATTTGATACTTTAAAAAAGCATGCATGTTAAGACAACATATAACAATTTCCAACAGATAAATACATACAAAGTTCTGAAAAAATTATATTTAAGTAACTCCTTTACAATTACGTGTTGTCCAAAATAAAACCGGCTCGTTTTAGGAATTTTGTGAAAATGCACTGTAAATAATACAGAGATCACTAGAAATTGGAATAGATTTTATTTAGTAATCACTTGAATGCAACACAACACGATAAGATGTGTGTTCATTACTGAGTATTATGCAAAGCACAAATTGCGAAAAACATGTACAGAACTTGTTTACTCACGAGTTTAAGAATAGAGTGCCTTTGTAGAACTCCCAGCAAAATATGCAATGTAAAACTTAAAGAGACAAAATGGCATGAAACAGACATGGTACAAAAGAGCAGTTCTCGTGTTCATTAACAAGACTAAATTTAGTGTCAGAAGTATGTATTTTTCCGAACCAATTTTATTTTGGCAGCCCTATAAATATTATATGCATTTTTTTTTGAGATCCATATGCATCAAAAAAGAAGTATAACTGATAAAAGACCTGGATAGTTAATGTGGATAATCCTTTAACTAAGGTCTAAAAGTTTTCCTCCGCTTTTAGCATCATATAGTAATTACACAAAACATATAACATGCACATAATTCTAAAAAAGTATGTGTAGTTAATCACAGAACATTAAAAAAAAATTATATATAACTTGAAAAAAAATTTTAATTTTAGCAAAATGAACAACTTGCTCCTACATATAATTACAATACTTCAGCCTTCTTAAGCGTGATTTTAAAAACATGCCACATAATGTTTTTAAAAAATTCTGACTGAAACAAATTACAATTACACAGAATGACTTGACAATTAAAAGGCTGATTTCACAGACTTAATATTTCGATCATAATAGTTTTGACAAAAAAAGTATGTGCAATCAACTGAATTTAAATGAAATATATTCAAAAGAAAACTTTCAAGTAAAAAGCAGTCAAAAGTTTAGTTTCAGCAAAATGAGGTATTTCACACTGTTATATCAAATTTCACATATTTTGCACCATATTGTTGAATACCAATATCAAATTCTTAAACCTAAACAAACTATATTATGAAAATCAACATTGAAAAATCAGTGCAAATACTTTTCATCTAGAGTTATTTTTATGTTAATGCCTTTACATGCATTCTTCTCTATGCAAGATTAATTTCCTTGCTACAGGCTAAGAATAGGATATTACAAGATAGTCAGAAATAATCTGTAGTTTTAATGAATTTCAGTTGCACAAAAATGCCAATTTTGTAATTACTTGATGCTTTACATGACTGAAGTTCACACTCCAGGAAAGACACGACAACAACATATAGCTACCTTTTTATGCATAAATGGATCATTATCATACTATATTGCTTCAAGTTTTGAGCACCATTAAGCATAGTTGTGTACCATGTTATATATCGTTACCACACTACATTGCCTTTAACTATTATAATTCTTTTTAAATATGGACAAACACCCATGTTTTAAATATTCTTTATAAAGATGCCCATACTTTGAATAAATTCTATTTTTCCAAATACCAAACAAGTTCAAAACATGTATTTAAAGAGATTATATTAGAAGTTATTCTTTTGAAATTTATACACAACTGCCAATCTCAATTATTATTATTATTATTTGGCTAAAACAGAAAATGAACAAATTAATTTTTTGATAATTAGGAGAACAGAAAAAATTACGTACTGAAAAAATTAATTTTAAAATGATATAGTGGAACCTCGATTAACCATCACTCTTGGCACAGTCATCGTAACGAATTTAAAAAAAAAAAAAAAAAAATAGATAAATATCAAAAGCTTCTTTCACCTCAACCAGCAGTTGACAACAGATGCACTTTTTAGCTTAACACCTTGTTAATACAGTCAAATACCGAAAATCTGAAATTCGTGTTGTTTCTCAAAATATAAGCATTCAGTTTATAGGTTCCAGAAACTGCAACATTGAGTACGAAATATCGAAGAAAAAAATCCTTACCGAATAATGATGTCATAATTACCGAATAATAATGAGTCATAATGAAAATACCAAATTATTGACATCATGATAAAAGTTTTTTCTCTTCTAATCTGCATCGAGGTAAGAAAGCAGACTATTCACTCTACTTTCAAGTTCACGGTTCATGTTGTATTTTCTAAGCTTTATATTTCACGAGATTATTTAGTGCTGCCTTTTTTTTATCCGGATATTTTGTGGATAAATTAAGAATATTTTAAATTTCAGCTCTTTTTAATACAATTACAGAAAAGAAATGCACTCATGATTTTACTGCTTGCAACGTTGAAAAACGTAAACACGTTGAATTGATGATAATGCAAAAAGTGGAAAATCTGCAAAAGATGGAGATAGGTGCATTTTATAGCAGAATCATATGGAATTGCTATACGATTGTGTATGATATACAGAAAAATAAAGAAAAGCTGTTGAAATTTTACAGCAACAGTGATTCTAACATCGGAATCTGAAACCGGAAATCTTTGCATGAGGTGAAATTGGCAAACCTCGATGCTGTGTATATATAATACAATGAATAATATAATCATGTTATATATGTAATAATAATTTAAAGCATATAATAAGTTATTGCAATAATGTACACAATAATTTAATTAAATGTATCTAATACGCCTTATTTATTTTGCACTTTTAGTCTGAATATTATGATCTATCTTTTCTGTCCTGAAATCCGCATAACCTCTGGTCCCAAGCTTTGCGGATTTCTACTATAGTGGTAAAATCATTTAATAAGACAAAAATCAAAAATAAAATGTATTTAACATGACTCATACACAGTACACAATGTTTCTTAGTGTCACATACAGACAAAATTTTCAGTTGATATTCATATAATGGTAAATGGAGTTTTACAAACTTACCAGTAAATTATTCCAAAAAGGGATCACATACCATTTTGAGCCCACTCAGTAGGGCTATAAATCACTGAACACTAGTTGTTAGATCTGGCTTCGATTCCAGGCGAATGTGCTGGCTGTATGAGATTTTCCCTACATGTAACATGCATATGAGCCAGTTTCTGTTAGAAAGTCCTCCATGAAGGCATCTCTTCCCTTATGCAGACAGACCTCGAGTGTTTTGCCACAGTCAAATAAACCAAACTATCATATTCTATAATTACTAAACTCACAGGGTAATTTTAAATCAAACCTCTCCCTGTGTAATTTTATATGAGAATACAGCACAGTATTCTTCAAAACAATTAGTTTAGGCTTTTATCTTAAATACAATGACAGATTCATAATTTATCATAAAATACTATCTATTAAGGAACTTTGAATTTTATTAATTTTTATAACTGCATTTGTTCTTTGTTTTTCAGTGGATAATTTATAGAAAGTGACTGTGTGAAAAATTAGCCGAGTTTCCACCATATTTCTTAAAATGAAAATTATTATAATTAAATCTTAATTTTAATCAATGCAAGCAGTAAAATTTGAATACTTATGCAGACATTTATCTAATAAATCAGCTTCCCTTCTTCGAATTGATAATTTTATTGCTGTAGTGATAATAAAACATTTGAAGAAATAGAGGCTAAAAGAAATGGATTTTATTCAAAGCAGGTTTGTTTATTTAAAATGCTAAATATGTTAGTACGAAACAATTCTTTGCAATTTTACCGTTTTAGAAATAATTGTAATAATATTTCACCTAATTATATTATGCAATTTCCGTAACTAGTATCTAAAACTATAAAGTTAAACTATTTTCGCAAACAACAAAATATAGTGTGAATGCCTTCATTCTTAACAAATTTAAATAACATAGTTTAGCTTCTTTATTTCAAGTAGGAAATTAAAAATAACAAAAATAAATAAAAACCGGGGTAAGGAGAAATTTCTTTTTTCCATACATAATGCAAACAGTGAAAACCCTAAGAATTTATATCTTTAGTAAAAGTTAGGAAGCATTTGGGGAAACTGAAATCTAGTGAAAACAACAAAAACTAAAAGCCTATTCTTATAACAAAACTCTTTTGGTAAGCAAAAAAGGATGAAAATGCACTAATAACTATTAGTCAAGAAATTTCTGACTTTCAAAGCACAATGGATGAAATCTCATATAGTTTGATTTTGTAAGAATATATGGCTAAAGAACCGTAAGAGACTGGTATATCAGAAAGACTTAAATATTAATAAATGCAATTATCCAAAGCACCCCAGTCAGAAGACACAGCTTATTAATACAGCCTCTCATGTCTTCAAAATGCCAATCATATGAAATCAAAAACTGTCTTTTGAAAATGTTTACCTTTTTAAAATAAAATCCAAGGAAGGCATATGTATTACTCATTGTACTTATCTGGCATGATGCTTTTTTTAAAAAAAGAGGCAAGAATATAATCATGATTAAGTAATCTTAAGAGTTTTCCTTAAAGGCAAAGTAGGTTGGAGACAGTATTATGACAGGTAATCTACTATGGTGAATACATCATTTGATAAAAGTCCCACGAATTGATTTAACTTGTGTTTTATGGTTTAACTGCAAGCAAATTCCAGAAGTCGTTTATTTATATGAACCATTAACCACTCTTAACTATTATTTCTTTATGATAGATTTTCTTTATTTTAGCTCACTTATGAACAAATAACTCTTTAAATTCAAATTCCTGCAAATTTATATACAGATACTGTAGTGAAAATATTCATTAAATTAACAGTGAAAAGAGGAAGAAAAATGCTTTATATCTCATCTCCATTGAATAACTGAAACCCAAAGCATGGGGTTGTTAATACTAATTATAACAGTAAGTTTTTTTTTTTTTTTAAATACGAAATAGAGCTTTCTTAGCATTTCCCCTTTTAATATAGTGAAATCTTATGGATATAACTGATTTTATAACTATGATAAGGAACTCAAACCATAACTTTATTTAAATGTGATTTTTTTCTTTCAGCAAGGAAACTAAAATGGAACTTAAAACTGAGTCACAGAAATGATGCAGTGGTAACTTCGATAACATAGCTACCCATAGTAGGTTCCAATATTTAAATTGCTCTGAGTCAGAAATGAGTTGATATAAAAGGTTTTTCCCATTTTATTTGCCTCCAGTATCTTTAATTACAAATAATCAAAGAAAAATTTAAAAATTAAGCCACTTTTAAAGGTTAATATAATCTTCTACTTTCCTGTAACTGAGAATCTAATTAGAATGAACTAATTTTAAATCACATCCAAAAGAAATAACTACCCATATATATTGTTAATTTGCAACTAACTTCTATCTTTAATTATTTCAGAATTTACACTTTTCATCATTATGCTTTGTCCTTTGACCACTTTAATCAACAATGTTCTCTCAAAGCAAAACATTTCCCATTGCTCTTCAAAGTTTTCAAGTATTTGGCTGTAAATAAAAACCCTCACCTAAGTATGCACAGCCAGAGAGATTAATGACAAAAAAAAAAAAAAAAAAAAAAAAAAAAAAAAAAACTGAAAACATTGCATGATTTCACTTTTTTAAATGGAGTAAGATATAAGAACACTGGAATGTACATTATAACTGGAAAAAGCAGCAAAACCATAAATATTTTAGCATGTTTCCAATGTTTACTTATTTGTGAGTGAAATGAAAACATGCGAGTTATAAAGTACATGAAACATTAAAACACCTACAATTATTTTGAATAAATAATAAATATAGCAAAGCTCAAAATAATATAATTCATAAATAGCCATGAAAAACCATAAAAATACAACTGCTAAACATCATAGGAAAAAAACCTTCAGAATTTCTGATATGCTTTATTTTGATTTAAAAACACAAAGTTGATTTTCTTTGGTTCGGGCACTGTACAAAAAGAGTAAAAGAAAGTTCTGTTACACCTGGTATTTTTTTCACTTGAATTAAAATTCAGAAATGTGAATTAATCCACAGATTAATACGATAAATAAATAAGAAGGCTAAATTCTTCATACTTGGCTTCACAATTTCAGACTTCTGATGATTACAGCTTATCTTAAATTCTGAAGTCAGACGGAGTGCTTTATTCTCACAGAGACTGCAATCAGTGTTGATATCTAGCACTTAAAATTATTTCACAACTACACTTTCAAGTATTTGATACTGAATTTCAAATCTGTCATTTAATAATAGAAAATACTAAGATTGATTCAAAACGTTAAAAGAAAATTGTTTAAACATACTTTTAACATACTTAGATATTTTACAAATAAATGCATAGTTCTATCCCAAAATATTGGATACTTGTAACTAAGACAAGGGGACAAGCAAAAAATCATAAATTTAGCAATAAAAGTTTGTTTCCATTAAACTGAATTTTTCTTTATTAAGATTTCCAGGTATCCGAACATGGAATAAAATATGCAAATAGGTAGTTTTATTACTATCACACTAACTTAAATTTAATACAAATGCTACTTTTCTGCACAAGCTCAAGAATAACATAAGAAACAACTCACTTTAAAAAATTTCAAACTGTAAAAATTTCTTCCAACTTTTTAGACTTTTATACAACCAAAAGTAATCAGCGAAGAGACATTTACATAAAACAGCATACAAACTGAAGACAAGAAATAAAATTGAAAAATACACACAGGGTAATAGAAAACATTCTTAAAATAAGTATTCATGAGACAAAAATTTTTACATAGAAACATTTATGTATATACATATATTTCTAAAATATTCTTAGGATCTTAAACTGTGCTCCTTTGATACAGCTGTAAAGTTCTTCTTTTAATAGCACCAAACAGCTATCAACTTGTACATAAGAATGCATTAAGAAAAAAGCAAGTACAACAATATAATACAGCTTTTAACAAGTTTATTTTGATATGACTAAGTATTTCATAAACAATGGACATTTTGTTTAGTTAACAGTTGTCTGGCTTTGACAAAATAAAATATCAGATGAAAGGTTATGCCTCTCCTTTTTTCAGTCGGCTCATGAATAAAGAAACCAATCAGGAGATTTTCACAGTTATAACTCAACACAGACTGAAGCACAAGAAAAATTGCACACAATATTATATTTTAAAATATTAGAAGTGAATCTGGAATAACTAAATCAGCAATTGTTTTTGGACTTACACGGAAATGGAAAAAAAAAAAAAAAAAAAAAAATATTGCAGAGAAAAAGCAACTTATTAAACTCTCTCAAATGATAGGCAAAAAGGTATTAATATTTCTATAAGTAATGCTTCCATTACCCTCCAAATGTAATAATAAAAATATTTAATAAAAAAGTTGGAATATTTCTTCAATCATCACTTTTCATTTTTCAATGATGTGAAAAAGATTAAGCACTCAGAGAATAATTAAATTGTCAGCATACTGTAATACATCTATGGTGCTTATGTAAATGAAAAAAGACCACTCATAAGAAACAAAAATACCTGCAATCTGCTTTTCAGGATAAGTTTTAACAAAAGAAAGGTGCTCACATCCCAGGCTCCCCCCCCCTCCCAATGAAATATCTGAACCAGGATTTACTGCAGCTACAGAATAGTTACACAGAAAAAGCATTCAACATTTCAAAAGTTTATTGACTCAGAATTGAGATAATTTTAATTTGAAGCTGACAGTCTGTATTTAGATTTATTACTTTCAATAAATTTAAGAGAGGAAGCCTCAACTGCTAACAATGCTGTTCTTTCTCAGTTTTTCTCCAGAGATAAACTTTCTAATGCAGGTAAAATAATGCTTAGACTTAATTTAGATGAAATTAAAGAGGGTTGAAATTTGGCAGTAATTTATATTACAGAAGCCATAATCAGCTCATTATGCAGAATATTTATAAAACGTTATGAGATTTTCACAAAGACCATCTTTTGCTGCCCTGCACATGATATACATTCAAAGGGGAAAAGCTGTTTTTTCATCTTTTCCCAAAAGCTCAATTTTGGTTTTATTCCTTTCTTCGAGCTGCCAAATCAATCAATGCATTTCAGGAATGATGAAAAAGAAGCTGCCAGGAAAATATAAAAATTTAGACAGAAGTTTATAGAAATGAATACCCAAATAAAATTAATAAAGCATTTTTATACCTAAAAAATTATTTTTTAGGAAAACGTACTCTTAGATCATTTTGGATTTGTCAATATGAGGTTGGCAACGTTTTCTGCTAAAGTGGCTAAAACTATTATTACAACATAGTAAAACAGGTACGGCATAAATCAGTTTCTGCCATAAAAATTGCAATAAATGGTAGAAACTCACAGCTGAAAACTTACTGACATACTGTAAATAGAAAAAAAAGGAATGTATTTAATAATAAAACACATTGAGATAGAATTTTGTTACATATGAAAAGGTTACAGAACAATCACCTCTCAAATTCAGATTTTCCAAGAGGTAGTCTAAAATAGAAAACCAATACCACACCTCTGAAGAAGTTGAAGGAATTCTTAATTTACTGCAACTAAATGATAAAGCTGCAGGATATTCTTGAAGTGCTTGAACACTATGTCATCATTGTACAAACAAGAATTATGAAATCATCATTTGCAATTTTTGCTTTTAAAACAGATCATGGAGAAGCTGAAACAATTTGTAAGATTTCATTGGAAATAATATGTGTCAGGAAAGCAAGCTGAGATTGCTTGAAAAGCTGATATATAAGGCACAAAATATGGGCTTAAAGTCCTACTATTTTCCTCCTGCTTATTTGACAATTGAGACTCTATGTACACATACGAGCTAGCATCTAATGGTGAATTAATGGTTGATTAAATGCCCTTTTGACTGGTTTCTCATAAATTTCCACAATAATATTATCAAGCCACCCTATTTGATATGGTGGTCAGCACTATCAGATGCTAGTTTGAATCTAAAAGCTCAGTTTATTATTATTATTATTATTATTTTTTTTTGCCAGCTCTACTTACATTAAAAGTAATACAGGCCAAACACTTGATAACCTGCAGAGTTAACTATGTTATATATTATAAATATTGCAGTACAAATACAACAAAGCTACATTACTTAAATGCATAACAGGAGTATTATCTATAATTCATGTGTTACTGGCAATGTATGAAAAGTCGACATTCCAATAGAACACCTAGGCATTTTTAAGAAAAGTATGAGATATGAGAATTATTTTAAGCTTCCCCTAGGCAATGAATATAATACTTAGGTATCGTACATAATACTTAGGCATTCTAATAGAATGACAAATGCTAGTTATACAAAGCGAAAGAAAGATCATGCATTGCCAATCTGAGGCATTTTATATAAGGCCTAAGTATTCTATAGAACATCAGGTTTCATATATTGGCAGTAACAGTTGTACTAAAACATAGCTGTAACGTACACAATTAAACAGATTTATGCTAATGTACAGGCCAATAAATACACATATTACACAAATATTGTTTATAAATTAACAATTATCTTATATTCATTGTCTACAATAAATCTCATGAGTCCTTTAACAGAGAAGTCAAGTTTAAAAAAATTGTATTTAGAGTTATACTTGTCACTGGCCTATGAAACAAAATGCTCTTTTTCCAAAGTGCAATCATATATACAGTGGAAGGCATTTGCTTCAAAAGCAGCTTTTCAGAGTAACATTTAACATTTTTATAAAGGAAGCTTTGAAAATACATGGGAAATTTCCCACGACTAGTGGCTAAATGCAAAATTAAATAATCTCTGCTTATTCTTTTAATGCCAAACTTTGGAAAGATTTTACAGGTAAACTTTTCCATTTCACTTAAATCCTATCCTTCTTGCAACATATATACTGAATTTTTTGCTGCTTGGTCAGCCAGGTCATTGGCCAAACTCAAAAAGAAAAATTCTAATTTTACAGTGGATGTTTGTTTACTATTTCTTTTAAAGAAAAAAGTACTGAACTTTGATTTAAGTTCCTAAAGGACCTGGAACAGACTTGAAGAGATGATATACTTTTTTATCTGTTTATCCCATGGGTATAATATCAGTCCCCCTCCCTACCAAATATTCCAGTTAACAAGCTTACGGAGGTAGTCATGGATTTCCTTAAGTGTATTATGAACCACAAGCCATAATTTTTTTATCAGTCCCTCACAAAGTCTTCTATGATGGCATGCCTCCATTTAGACAGATAACCTTAGTTTGGTTCACTATAATCTAATAAATCCAGCAAGTCAATCAACTACTACTTCAAATAAGAATAATGAAGTGCAGTAAGTCTCTAATCACCATTTTACAAATGTTAATAATTTAAATGGTTATTGGCGTATTGATTCTAAAGCCACCATTCACTTATGTAATAAAAAATGCCTATTTGTTAAATTTGTAACTAACTCTACTTCTAAACCAATAACTTTAAGCTAATGAAAATGCAGTGTTTAATCAAGCAAAAGAATATTGCTTGAGGATCAAAGTACTGAAAATGGTCAAACTAAGGAGTATCAAAATAACCAAACTAAGGAGTAAACTTGAAAAATGCTGAATGCCATAGTGTTAAGAATTATAATATAATTAATTGGCTTTGGCTACATCAGAGAAGGTTCATATTCTTAAGGAAAGTGAACATGCTCTTTGCACAAGACAAACTTATGTGGAATGCATTCATGATTGGCATATAAAATTAGGCCCACATAAATCTGAATATATTTTATGGTCATGTGAAGAAGTTATGACTGAAGATGTGAATATTGCATCATGTTCTAATTTACTGACTTATGAGGATTGTATTGCAACCAGAGCATACAGAGAACCATTTCCAAGGAAGTCTTTTTTATTAAGGATTAATAATTGAAAAGGAGTGTTTTTACACTTTAACCTGTAATTTCCTGAAATGCAATGATTAATGTTTATTCTTCTTTTTAGCTTAAGAATATCTGTGTAGAGGATTATCCCATTATGTTGAACTACGTATTTTTGGCTGTCTGCCAAAAGAATTTTTAGATGAATTAGAATTGCTGTAATATACATGCTCAAGTTTTTCTCCTAATAAAATGTTCTATCATAATCCCCTGTGCATGAAGTTATGCTTTGTTTCCACCACATCATGACTAGATATTTCCCATTGTACTTTACAGATAGTATGTCTTGAAATACTGTGTTATAATTCATTTAATCTCATCCTTACATCTTTGCTGTGCACTATAAGCAGTGCCTAAAATTTTTCAAAACAGTTCCCCCCCCACCCACTAGTGAAAAATTTTCCAGCAATATCTGATCCAATTAATATTTCAAGAAGATCTGATTCTTTTTGCATGTCACTTACAATAGTGTTACAAGTTTCAAGTTCTCAAATCCAGAGATCCGAGGAATGTCACCACAAATCGTTTCTTGACCTAACGTTTCAAGTTCACAGATATTTACCATCAAGACTACTTAAATAAATCTTATCAAGTTTATATTTCAATTCATCTGTCGTGTACTGAATGTTGTACAATTTCTTCTTTAATTACATTTTGAATTAATCAGCATTTTAAAATTCCAGGAAACTGCCAGAGCAGAAGTGCATAGTTAAATATGATTTGATATGTAAACAGCACATTTTTACAGATCTCAAGCTGATAGTCTTATTCAATTTGATATATGCAATTGCTATAAAATATATTATTATCTTGATCCCCTCTTTACTGATTATCATGCATATTATACGTTTATTAAAAATTACATCAAAAACACTATTTAGACAATACAAACCTTCAGTGTGAAGCAGCTGCTCCCAAAAAGATGACTTGCAGAACATTGCAAATTCTAGATGCATTTTTTATACTTTGCATTTCTTCCTCCTTTTCAGTCTTTTTGAAACATAGGTCATGATTATATCAGTTATGCTCAGTAATATATTAGCATCATATTATTAACGTCTAGCAACTAACAAAAATTAATATATTTAAATAGGAATGATGAAGCTAATACAGGAATAAATGTGTGAAATTAAGTTCCTCCATGTATATATTCATTAACTATAACATTTTCATTCTAAGAATCAATCACCCAATGACTTTAAAAAACAAGCCTTTTGAAACAACAGCAGATAGTGCTGCATCATTAAATTGTTCTAAACTACTGTACAGCACTTTACCAGAGTTTTTTTCTATATGACTATGCATTTCTAGATGAACAGATGATAATTTTTTTTAACTTCAAACTCTGCCCCACAACATATTCAGAATTTAATAAACCAGAAGAGTGGTTGTAATTTCAGAAATAAAATTGCTGATATTTTTAAAAATATAAATAGTTTTATACACAAATGAGGTAATCAAATTAAATAACTTCTTTCTAAGGAAAACACTTTTCCCTCCTGAAATTTGGAAGTCTGCAAATCTATAAACACAGCATACAAGGAAAGGGTTCCAGATGAAAATGCATATTCCATTCATTATACTTATTGTTTCATTTATTTGCTCCCCTTTTCAAACACCTGCTTTTAAATTAACTGTAACTAGAACTTGGCTTTTATATGAAAACACATTAGATAAATTTTTTTCTACATTCTGAACATGCACCTTTCTAATGTTAATAACATATCCAGACTTTTATACTTTTCTCAACCAAACAGACAATGATGATTATATTAACACAGTTGAAAAATATGCACATTTAATATGAAAGACAGCCTTTTTTTATTGCAAATTCCCTCCAAACAGTGTTTCATACAATAGGGAGAACTGTGATTTAAAAACACTATTGTTTTGAAGAACAATGTGAATAACAATATGCACTGGAAAATAAAAAACTTCATACCAAAGTTAAATGGATTCACTGTTTGTAAATTAACTGCCTTAGATTAGCAAAGTAATAAAAGTATAATTTTCATTACCTTTACAATGAATAATTTACAGCAGTTTCTTACTCTCATTCAAGAGAAGAAAGAGATGAATATAATTCAAATGTTAAAGTATTACAACAAAAGTAAAGTGAGAATGACTGAGCAGTATTTGATGTGATGCTATAAAATTAATTCTTTGGTGAAGGCATAAAAAATTCACTATTAAGTCTTAAATACTTGCTTATTAATTTGACAAACTGGTAAGAACAATATGAAATATTCATATGACAGTCTAAGAAACTGAATACTTTCCAAGCATTTACCACACTGAAAGATCAGGAAAAATAATTAATTCTTAAATACAAAATAAATAAAAACTACAACAATTTTTTTTTAAAGATACATAATTTAAAGAAATGAAACATTAGATTTTAAGCTCCCTTTCCCCACACAATTCAAATTTATATACGGGATCAATTATATCATTTTTAAAATAAAGCATGCATAAAACTAAACGTAACATCAATTAGCATCATTTGAAATAGTCAATATTATGGCTCTACGTCAATTCGTGAGAATCACATTTAGATAAAAAAACTTAAAATCACATTTTTGTAAATATTTTAGAAATACACAGAAATGTATGAAAATATAGCCCTGCTGTAAAATTTCCATTTTTTAAGACGAAACAAACTGCAAGAATAGGAATTACCACAAAAGTTTCATGGAAATCTAGTGTTAAGAAAATTAAGACGTTACATGAAATTGCTACTAACTTTATGGACAGCATCAAAAATATATGCAAAATTTATTTTATATGTTACATTATTTTCTTTACTATTCTATAATTCTGTATGTTGATGAACAGTGTGGGATTCCGTGTGTAAAGAGCAGAGAGCCGGAGTGCTAAATTCATACAAATATTCACATCGATTTGGTTCACTTGTGGACAGCAACTTGTTTTCTAATCCACACTGTAGTAGAATCTAAAAGAACAATACACATACAAACACACAATAAGATTACCATAAATAAGTTACTCAGAGAAAAGTTTTTTCTTTTCTTTCTAAAAATATCAAACTTAGGTAGAAAATAGATTCACACATACCGTAACAGATCTGGTTGGCCCATTCCAACACATCTGGCCATTTTCAAATTTCATTTTTGAATACTTATTTTCAGATCCCGCCCAAGATCCCCAAAGACTGTAAAAAATATAATACTTTAATTCTTTTGTAAACCAAATAAATAATAAAACATGAAAAGCAGAATTTTTTCCTAATTTAAAGACCATCTGATTACTGATGTCATTGTTTTGAATTCCAATTTTGTCTAATATCAGATTTATTTTCAGTTAAAAACACACAGAGATTAATGAGGCTATTTCGATGTATGATTTAACATAATGATCAAATGATCATCCATACATTTTAATGATAAATAACAATATTTTTGTAACATAAATTTAATGCTGCATAGCTTAGAACAGTAATTTCCTGACTGCAACATTCTAAACAAAACTGGGTTGCTAGATTCATAGATCAAACAAATTGCAAAACATTAGTTAAATAAAACTAAACAGGAAATGCTAAACTTAATAAGAATGGCAGCATCCTCCCACCTTTGGTACTGCAGACAAATTTCCCTTAAAGCAATACAAAATAAAACAAGGAAAAAATATACATATATAATACACATAAATTGTAACACATAAAATGAACCTGAACTCAGAACTATAAACACATGAATAAAACATTAAATAACAATATGTATACAAAATGACAATACAATTATCAAATACTAGGAAAAAGTCAATAGCAGTTCATAAGTCTGTGCGTTTCACAGGCACTACTGGGCGACCACTTCGAGTTACCTTTACATCTTCTGGAAACTCTTTGTCACCAAGTTCTCTTTCTGGGGGTAGCCTCGGTTTTCTGAGGTACTTTAATGAAGCTGTCACTAAAATTAAGCTTCAAAAGATAAATTCGCTGAAGGGCAATTGAATGATTTCACTATTGGCTACTTGTAGTTTTGGTACACATTCTGTATTGCCTTTGCCAGGAAACAGTTCAATTACCTGAGCTGAATGCCAATTTATCCTGTTAGGATTCTTTGACTTAATTAGGACAATTCTCCTGGAGAAATCATTTTTTGCCATGAAGATGACTTTGGACTTCTTACCAATTCTCCAAGATATTATTTATAGAAACATTTCTGTAGTTTAGCAGAAAGGTATGAAGGTACCACAGATGTTTCAGCAAGTGCTGAGAGTCTATTAAATTCAAATCAATGGTTTCTTGTTAGCTTAAATCTTGAATAAAGTGAGCAGGCATAAGAGGTCTCAGTTTATTAAGGTCATCTAATAAATATGTCAATGATTGTCTATTTATAGTGGACTCACAATCAGACAGCAAAGTTAACATTTCTTATGCAACTCCCAAACACTTTCAAAGAAGTTCCTTGATACAATCAACCATTTTTTCCAAAAACCCACCATATCATGAGGCAGATGGAGGGCTGAATATCTACCTGATTTTTATCAAAGCACATTCTCTTTGTATGAAATCCCAGACCAGAGATTTCAAAGTGTTTGTTCCTCCTGTAAAGTTTGTACCATTATTGGTATAAAGAGTAAAAGATTTCCTCTCCTTGGCCGAAATAGGCATAATGCTTGCAAAAATGGTTCAGTGGACAGGGAGAAAATTAGCTCCAAATGAACTGTTCTATAGACAGCATACATGAAAAGTATTATCCATGCTTTGCTTTCTCCGCATAGGAAAAGAGATCTAGCCAGATCTGCACTAGTTACTTGAAATGCTGCAACTTGTTGTATTCTGTCAGGAAGTAAAGGCACTGAATCTGGGTTAACATTTGTGGAAGTCAGTTTCGTGCACTGTATACATTGTCGTAAAATTCATCCGAGACCTCTCCCTCCTTAGGAAATCCAGTTAGTGTCATTAATACTCCAGCATGCATCAAAGAGCTACGAGTATGCAATATCTAGAATAGGTATGCTCTCTAGAATAGGATAGTCTGGTAAACTACAGGATGTGGAAAATTCTCTGGATTTTGACTGAGAATGAGTCATGTTTGAACCTTAAAAATTCCAATTTCAATGCAAAACTGTATTGTATTATTACACTTCTCAAGAACACAAAAGGCCATTCAGACAGGATGATTTTTATTACAGTTTTCTGCCCTTTTAATCACTTCACACCAAATTCCATCTTTCAACTTCTTAGAGTTTGCCTTGATGTTGTACCAAAATCTCAAAATATAAGCAGTGACTTTCATACCTTGAAAAATACAAAAATCTTTCTCTAAATTTATTTTCCTTCTCTATGACTACATTTGCATAATACTGTTTAATTTGCAATTTTATTAAAACTGGTAATTTTCATGCAATTTACAAGTCTACGAAGTATAAAAGCACTTTATTTTCATGAAGTTTTATCACATTGAAATCATAAATATGGTAATTAAAAATATATTAAATTACAATATTTTTCATTTTTCTTATTGCAATAACAAGAGTTAGTTCTATGTCAAAATTCTAAAGATTTCATGAGTAAGAGCTGTTTTGAAACATTTTTTACAATAATCTGCATAGAAATGCTAATTACTCAATCTGTTAACATCAGAAGACTTTTCCTAAACTGATATTTTATTGTTAGTTAAGTATAAATGCAAATAATTTTTTGTGTAAGGCCCACAAATTGAAGAAAAAAGTGAAATATTTTACACTCTTCAATTTGTGCAAGTTGAATTTTAAAACTAAATATGTTGAGCAATATTTGTCATAAGGAAGTCATACTTTTTGTATGATGAGTATAGCATTCTTCTAAATTTAAGTAAAAGGAATGAATGATAAAAAGTTAGATCTCAAAATTTTCTATAAAACTGAGTTTTTAAAATTTAAAAATGCCGAAACACTGACATTTACATCATTTAAAACAGTTTTGTTATTGAAATTACGTGTCTACAACCAACAGTTTTGCAAATAAAGGTTGAGCGAGGACTTTAGCAGACACAGCTAAAGAACAGCTTTAATTTGCAGTAGTCGTGTAACTGCGATTTTAATTTGGTTACTACTCTTTCCATCCTGAAAACAGTAACGACTTAAAATAAATCACTGTAAGCTGCATCATTTCAAAATTCATCCATGTAATATGATTTTTGCATTATGCTCATCATGCAGATACTTACATAACACCTAATGATTTCAAATTTGGGAACAAAAACTTTAAAGCTAGAAACTCAATCATTCTGCATAAAACTTTCATCTTAACAGTTGGATTCTCTGTCTTTTGCTTCTACCATCCCAATCCGCTCAATCTACGCTGCTGCATATGTTGTCTTTACTCCACTGAAATTAACTATTATCTAAAGGCCCAAATACATTTTTCAAGTCTCTCCCTCCTTTACTCACTCACTATATAAAACCTCAATTTAAAATGAATATAGAGCTTTATCAAAGTAAATAACTTCCTGTGCATTACAGTCAAGGATTTCTCCCATAGCAGTTTGAAACATAAATCATATGAAAACTGTAAATTGATTTACATCCTGCAAAAAACTGAGTTTTAAAAATACAGAAATGAAGAAATCAGCAAATAATTTTTTCACACATAATGGAATCACACATAATTGTTAAAAAAAAAATTATACTAAATTATGAACATAAATTTTTTTAACAATTTAATTTTGAACATAAATTGTGTTCATAAATTTTAGTATAATTAAAAAATTATACTAAAATTTATGAACAAACAGAACAAAAGTTTTAGATTGTTAAGGTTTATCCTAGGGCTTTTAACATATTATTTGACAATAGTTCATTTGATAGGATGTCTTAAAAATTAGTCTTTTCTTCACTGTTAACATTACTAGTTCCTATTTGCAAATCATGTTTAAAAATATGTTAGGTTATTAATTAAGTACTGCCAGCAAATATTATGTAAATTGATTTACGTCCTGCAAAAAAACTGAGTTTTAAAAATACAGAAATGAAACAATCAGCAAATAATTTTATTTCACACATAATGGTAAAAAAACAAAGAAAATAAATAAAAAGTAATGGACCTAAATAAATGGACCAATGACAATTTTTAAGATTTTTTATACAGTATTGCAAGCTTAAAGCAAATTATAACAAATGTTCATACTTGCATCTAAACAAAAAGAGTAGAAATAAACATTCACCACACATCAAAAGAAAATCCAATATAAATTTAAAACATACCCTAAATTTACATTCAATCCACCTGATTTTGCAATCTGGCTTGCTTTGTCAAAAGGACAAAATCGATATGTATATTCACGATCATCAAAATCAAAGCACTTCCCTTTCAGTACTGCAAATTCTTCTTCTGGTCCAAAATCAATTTCAATATTTTCCTCAAGCTGCCTGAGAATGCAATTAAAGAGCTGATTGGAACATCTATGAATTACAACAAGTGGGGGAAAAAATGCACTTTCGAATGCAGAAAAACATACCTAATTTCTTGTCTAATTTTTTCCAATTTATCTACACTCTCTTTATATTCTTTCCTGGCTTCATTGGCGGCTGAAACAAAATTTAAACATTCAAACTCAGAGCATAAAACAAACCAATATTACGTTATACAAAATGTTTAAAACAGACTGCATGACTAAATATATTTTGAATGATTGATCCTAGACTCACGATTTCAGTTTAAGAAATTAAGAAAAAAGGCTTTCAGAGAATGTGACAATTTTGGTCGCAAGACACTTTTAATAAAGTTAGATGAAACAAATTTTTTTAAAATGTTCTTTATGCACAATATTCCAATTAGTAAGTTGTCTCAGTGTTTGAAACTTATTGGGAGCTTCAGGTGTCAGAAATGGCTGCCATCACAAACAGGTTGGCTGCAAGGGTATTTTTGCAGTTTATGCTTTGTTTGAGCTGAAATTGAAGAGCGGTGCAGTCTTTCTTATATGGTAAATAAGCCTACATTTCCAAGAACTTTATGTACACAATTCTATTTTTTAAAAGTTTTTAAAATAGTGCTTTCTGTCAATTTAATCAAATTTAAATCATCTGTCATTTAAATCAAAATCATTGTATCAGAAATTCAGAAACAAGATATTCAAAAATAAAAAAAGTTATATTCTGCTTTGATTTAAAGTTTACATAAAAATTTATTCCAAGACAAGAAATATATAGCGTATCTGTCTACTTTTTTATTTATTTATTTATTTTTTAACTAATGCTGTCTGAAAATCAAGAGAATATTATGCAAATAGTTTAATTTCCAAAGGATGTGGTTATGATAAGAATAAACAAACGAAATGTAGTGATAGGTAAACAGCAAGTAGTTATCACAATATTATTTCTTAACAAAAAATAAATTTCAATAAGAATACATAGTACCTTACACTTGAATCTTGCCTGTTCTTAATGTTGTCTCTGCTTCTCCTTAGGCCTCAATTCATCCACAAATTATTATAGAAGGTGAATGTGCGAAATCATAGACTGAAAGTCAGTTCATATTTGCTTTGCTGTGAGTGGTTAGTTAAGGACACTCAGACGGTCACCAGGGTGTCATCCCTCAAAATTGGGATGGTAGCTTAAGAGTTAGCTAGGTTCAGCAAGACCTCATTCACCTGTGATACTACACAGGTTCTACCTGTACCTGTATACCCTGACATGAGAGTGCTTAATGACATTGACTGCTGAACCAAAGGATTGAATTTAAAATTTTGAAGAAGGCATGGATGCTGGCAAGCATATAGTATCTACGGCAAGGGGCCACCCAAAATACACGACGAGCTGAAATCCTCTCGAGAGGTTGTGGTAGGAGACTCCTGGACTGCATCCTGGGTGTTCTGCCTTGGAATTCCACCTGGGGCTGAACATTAGCAATTACCAAGGTTCTGCATTATCCAATATGCCAACTTGGATACACATGTGGCAGCTTTGCCTGAAAAAAATCTGTCTCAATGAAACAGTTGTTAGTGATGTCGACTGCCATACCAAAATAACCAGGTTTGAATTCAGGAAAAGGCATGGATATCGCCTCCCCACCTGGGATGTTCTCCCTTACAGTTCTAATTGGGGCTAAAGCTTAACAGGTAGGAAGGCCCAGCAATACCTAATATGCATACATGGATGCATACGTTTGCTTTGATTTATGACAAAGCACTCATGGGCTAAATAACTAAGGCCAGGTGGGCCTTGATGGAAGACTTCAGGGAAAATGGCTCTTATCTATGTTACACATGGAGAAAACCATGAAAATGCCCATGCAACCAGCCTGTTTACCTACAATCAAAACCAGGTTGAACTACCAGCATTCAGTGACTTTATTGCTTGGTTACTAGTGGGCCCCATGGATACACAGGTGATGTGTTGATTGATATAGGGGCAAGCAATGCTGGCTGCCCCATGGATGGGCCTAGGTTCGAACTTTGGAGAAGGAATAGATATTTGTAAGTGTATGTCTGCGAGGCATGCAGCACTAAAATTACTGAGTCATTAATCCTTTCGAGTGGTTTGGTATACCTGTATAACCTGATTACAAGTTAGAGAAAGAAAGACAGTTACATACTTTGGAGAAATCTGCAACAGAAAAGCATTTGCCTCAGTCACAAAATGTTTTAAAAAGTAACATAGATTTAATGTCTATAAATGATGTATATGTTATAACTATATATCTCCACAATATATAGTTATAACATATACATCGTTTATAGACATATATCTCCACAACAGCTTAAATATATCTCCACAACAGCTTAAATAACTATTAATCAGACTGCCGTTAAAATTACCTTGAAAATTACCAACTAAAGTTAAAATAAGACAGTTTACCTATTAAACAGTCTTACCTATTTTTAAACCCTTTAACTCTTTAACAACCAATTATATATTAATAGAAAATTACCATTAACAAGACGTTGTGTTTCTTCATCATACTCTGGCTCTACTGGTTTCGCAGTTTCTGCTTCTTTAGGTGGAAAAACTGGTGGCTTTTCAGTTTCATCTTCATCCAGAAGCTCTTCATCCATTCCATCCTCCTGAAATGATCTACACTTTATAACTATGAATTACACATGGAAACTAACATACTGCTTTGACTTACTAATGATACAGTTCTCTAAAACTTTACTATTTGATAAAATATATCATTATGAATTTGAGAATTTCTGTAATCAAAATCAAGCAAGAAATAATAAGAATCAAGCGAAAAATAATTCGTCACTAATTGATTTCAACAGATTTTCAGAATTTTCCCTCCAGAAATAATACACACTTATGTATGTTTTAATTCAATTTGTGCACTGATAAAGATTGCAAAAATTCAAAAGTACTTTTGTACATGCCTTTCATCTCGGATGTTTAAAGAAATAAAACAGATTTGTTGAACTATTGAAGTATCTAAGATGTAAACTCTTCTACCAATTTTCAGTAATTTCCCTAGTCAACAAAATTCATTATACTCATGTAAATCACGCTTGATTTTGGACACTAATTTTTAGAAATTCAACTTTTTTGTATTTATGTTATGAATAACACCATTGCTAAAGTATTTGAAGTTTTAGATTTTATAAAGAAAATTAGATGACAGCACTACCATGTATATGACTTACTCAAAAACCCAATGAAATTCAACTTTGAATCTTTCTGATTCTCCGTGACTAAACAGAAAAATTTCCCCGAGAGAACACAGTGAACTGGTTAAAGTATAGGTAAATGAATAATTTACTGCAGTTAACAGTGAAATACAATAAAATAAATAAGAATGCTGTTATAAAATTTATCTTGTTCTTTTATTGTAAATCTAATGAAATAAATTTACAGGAAACATGCATTGAAACCATTAAAAAACATAGGTAGAATTTTCAAAAAGAAATATCAAACTCTAGAGAAATATGTTCATTTTACAGAAGAAATTTACAAGAGCAATATTTACATTCTCGGTAAATACTACTTTTATGGTGCTTCAGAATAAAACTGAAGAGCTAAGAATTACATTAGATTAAAAAAAAAATATTATTAACACAGCTATTTACCCTAACTCAGCAAAGTGATTTCTAAATTGTACTAATTATTTTTGAAGGGCAAATATGCTTTTATAGCAGGGGCTGATATAATGGTAATTTTTTAAAGAGAATAATGAACAGTAGCTCACATGTGGAAAGAAGAGTTACAGAACAATAAAATTGTTTTACACATATGTAAAGATTAGGTAAATAGATAGCCAGATAAGTAAAATAGTTTGGGCAAGAAAAATAAATTTATTTTCTATTTAAGACAAGCAATTTTTGATTTCAAATTATTATTTTGAAAATGAAGTTTTTATATTGAAGAAATGATTGCATATATATATATATATATATATATATATATATATAATTAGCCGAGTTTTTTTAAGTATTTTCACATTTCCCGTGAGTTTTTGAAAAATATATTTCATTGCCTTTCCCTGATCATTTTTCCTCTTCTGACTTTATGGGATTCTCTAGGGGAGTAGGAACCCTGCTGTATCACAAATTTGCAGACTCCCAAACAGCCTGGAGATTTTGTTGCTGCCTGCAACTTTTATAAAATAAATTTGCTACATAATATTATTGTATGATAGAATTCAACATCAAAAGTGTTTCAAGGTAGTTATCATGGCATTACTCTATTTTAAAATATCTATGAAATAAGTGACATTTTTAATGATAAAAGCAATCAAGATGATGACAGGTCGATGGAGCTGTACTGATACTAAAACACGAAAGCTTAGGCACAAAATCCGTGCATGCTAAATTTTGTTAAAAATCTTTTAAAACAGCTCACATTTTTATCCAAACCTATATTACATATTTAATTGGAAATTTGGTTCAATTTTATTTTGATAAGACAGCTGATAAACTTACACAGAGATCAATGAAGATTTTTGACTAATTCTTTTTTTTAATAAATTCCAGCACACCTGCAAAATGAAACTGACAGTAACTTTTACTACGATGACTCAACTTGCTTCTATTATATCATCTGCTTAAGAACAGAATTTTCTATGTAGTTAGTCATTTGCTTCGATCTACTAAGCGTTTCGTGTCCTGGATTTGAACACGCAAAGAATAGTAATAAAGTTTTCCTGTAAATAGGGAAAAACACCAAGGGAGATATTTGAAATCTTGCATAAAAGCATAAAGGGATCAGATAAGATCCAATGTTTTTGTTGGCACAAATTATTTTTGTTATGGATGCAGAGATGAACCAAGCAGTGCTCATCTTTCAATCTCAAATGCATGAGAACAAAAAAGTTAGCTAACAGCTGAAAAATTGTCATCTATCTCTTCAAATGATATCTGATGAATTTAACACCAGTAAAAACACTTTACAAAATTGTCCTGGAAGATCTTGAAATTTTTTTTTTGTCTCATATGTATTGACTGCAGTAGTGATAAAAAACTGAATTTCACGATTTCATACAAATGACAGATATGAATAGTTATTTTTAAAAAAAACTGTGACTGGAGATAAAATCTGGTGATCCCCATATAAAACAGAAAACATCTTGTGTCAGAGAAGTTTCAACCACAGCCACATAACTTTGGCTTCAGAAATCTTGAATAAAAAATATGCTGGTCTAGTAATATACACTGGTTTCCAAAAATAAGCCACTCTATATAAAATTTGAATATGCTGTCATATAAGAGTTGTTCAGTAAAACAACAGTATGCAGATTAGTGGCACTGCAATCGGAATGCATCATCTGCAAGGAACATAAAATTGCACATTTGAGAGAAAGCATGCATATTTCTCTGTGATACTGAGAAGAAATCTGGGATAGCCAATTTGTAACAATTACGTCCAGGCATCATTAGCCCAAAGTACTGTGATGGAAAGCTATTGGGAGATTAGAGGCAGGGCAATCACAGAAGTGGCCAGATGGCTAACTGCGAGTCCTTCTCTGGATCATAGACTTTAGCAACAATTTCTAACCACAGATTCCACATCCAACAAGTTCAGCCAAGGACTGGCAACTGCTACAACAAGCACAGATGACCGATATTTGTTGTTACACACACAAAGCAATTGTTACGTGAACGAAGGATCACATCTCCGACTCAACTCAGATCCTCCCTTGCTGCAGCCACCAGAAGGTTGGTGTCAACATCAAACGTGCACAGAAGGCTTCATGCAGGAGGTCCATACATAAGTGAACCAGAGATTTACATGTCGTTCACATCATGTCACTGAAGGGAACGTTTGAGGTGGGCATATTAACATATCCACAGGACAGCTGATCAGTGGAGGGATCTTCTCTTTATGGATCAGTCCAAGCTTTGCCTCCAAAGCTGATTTGATTTGGAGAGGACATCGAACCTGTTATCAAACCTGTGTGAAAGAGATTCATACTGAAGGTGGAAGTATCTATGTTTGGGATAGTATCTCTTTGGGTGGATGCACAGAAATCCATGCCTTTCCATGTGGATCTATGAATGCTCAGGCCTACAGAGATGACATCCTTGATGCTTCTGCATGCCCTTATGCCATAGCAATAGGTGATAACTTCCTGCTAGAGGACGATAATGCTAGACCGCACAGGACTTGAATCGTGGATGATAATCTTCAGCAGCAAACAATTCAGCACACGGCATGGCCAGCTCGATCACTCGACCTGAATCCCATTGAGCATGCTTGGGATGCCTTACGAAGACGTACAGCTGCTCTCAATCCTCCTCTTTAGACCCTTGCCATGCTTGCAACTGCTTTGCAAGTACATTGGCTCTCAATTCCTATGGAATGTTTATTAACAGACCGTATAATTGACAGCATCACACATGGCTGTATTGCTTCTAGGGGAGATCAAACTCCATATTGAAGGTAATTTTCCATTACCAAACTGAAAAATCTGATTTGTTCATTTTATACAATGCTAATTTCTATAACACAGTAACTGATTGGTAGTAACTTCTTTTCATGTAATTTTATACCTTACTATGTACTGTATGTTATGGTTCAGTTCATTAAATTCTACGCGTAACTTTTTGAGTAATTGTCATTTTTGTGATTTTTTCTTAATTAATGTTAACCGGTGTATATTAGAAATGTTTACAGCAGTCTCAAGCTTTAGCACTCAAATTTTATTACATTAACTACCATATTAATTGATCATACAGCCTAGAACATCATTAGTTTTTAGAGTTGCCATATCTGAAGCCTCAGCTCTATAACTTATCTTCTAAATATCATTGCTGAAAACAGCCATTTTTAGCTATTAGAATAATTATTAAAAGATGTTTTAATGCCAGATATTAACAAGTTCTAGGTAAAAGTTAAGCACTAGTTTACAGTACCTCATCTTTAAACACAGTTTTTTTAATGCACAATAAAATTAAAATTTTGTATTATACTGAAACATGTTAAAATGTACACTGTGAAAGAAAAAAGAGGGGAGAGTTCTATATCTCCCATTTTACTGGGCCGATTGACAAAATTCAACTAGTGTTTTTCATGTCTCGAAAGCGCGATTTAGGATATATATTATTAGATTTATATATAGCATTATTCTAATATAAGTATTTTCACACAAAATCGGACTTTTTCTGAAATAACATACCAATTTTTTTTCCATATTTCAATTATACGACTCAAATTATGCTAGACTGCCAAGTTTTGTAAAAATCATACGAGTAGTTTTTAAAAAATTAGCTCTCAAAATTTTAGCTTCTCAATGTTAATTGAATTTGTTATACATTTATTAGTATCTCTTTTTTATTAAACTTATTTGATTCGACTGACAAGTTAGTCGGCATTCTTGACAGAGCAATTACAAGACTTGAACAGTGGAACTTTGTAACTGAACAAGAACTTATGTCTGTTTATAGAATTAAAGAGAAAATATTAGCACAAAAAATGGAGCAAATTAAACAACTTACATTGAAAGAAATGTTTAATAAAGTAAACAAATAAATATTAAGCTTTTTTTGTAAATTTTGATACCCTTTAGATCATAATTGCTCTTTATTTCACAAATTACAGATTCATATTTTTAATTGTATAATTTCTGCATGCCATC